CCTTTTTTAACTCCAGTACCTTCATTTTTTTGGGACAATCCTAGATCTATAATATAAGTCTTTAATATTTCAAGCCACGATCCCTCTTTATGTAGTACAATGTTTCCACTATGTAAATCACAATGAATATATTTTGCTTCATGAATTAGAGACAAATCTCTTGATATATCCATCAGCCGTAATAATTTATCTTTCCAAGTCATTTCTTTAAAAGTTGATTTTAAATAGTGACGAAGATTGCCATTGTTGGCATATTGAAGAACCATCATATATTGATCTGTGATTGTATTTTTGGTTAATCCATATACTTCAAGGCTACTCCCCGTTAATCTACACCGCATGTGATTTTTAAACTTTATAAATAAACTTATGTTAGTTAAACATAAAATAACCCCAAAAAAAGTACAAGACTAACTTCTCTTAAAAAATCTGCTGAACTCGAAGAACTAGATAAAGTCTTGAGCGCGACTAAGTAAGATTGTATTCGTGATTGTATGAATACTTTGCCGTTATTTAGAACCTTTCTTTTTCCGTCTATCCAGTTTGCGGAAAAAACGCTACCAAATCCTCCTTTCCCGATCTGTTGTATATTATTTAATCTATCAAAAGGGATCCATTCTATTACTTTATCATATTCGGTGACCATAAATTGAAATTCTTTGATACAATCATCTACATCAATACTTTCACTTGCCCATACTTGAGTCGTTTCAAAAGGATCACACGATTGACACCAGCCTCTCGAAGTGTTATAATGCTTACCCCACCTGCATACTCCGTATTTCTCATCTCTCTTAGAAATGCAATAATCAATTACTGCCATATATTGTTTCGATGACGCATTTTGAGTTATCCCAAATATTTTATGCCCATTATTCTCAAATTGCATAAAACTTTTAAACTTGTAAAATAGAATAGAAAAATTAGTTGTCGTGTTTCTAAATAAGCAGAAAGTGAATATTTAACTTACTTCTTTTATAAATTCTAATGCATCAGTTTGTAAACCATCAAATTTTTGAAGCTCTACTAAACATGGGAACTGACGCAATCGTGTGTTGTTTTTGACTTTTCGTATTCCATCAAGCCATAATGCATAAAATTTGGATTCGTCTATTTTTTGTAAGTTAGATAACCTATTAAATGGAATCCATTCAATTACATCTTTATATCTTGTACTTTTAAGTTGAAACTCTTTAATGCAATCATCAATATCATTTTTTCCACTAGTCCATCCTTGAATTACTTTAAGAGGGTCACATGATTGGCACCAGGCTTCTGAAGTATTATATCTATTGCAATGTGCACATTTTCCATATATAATATCTCTTCCATAATGGAAATCATCAAATACAATCATATATTGATTATTTGTTGTATCTTGTGTTATTCCGTACAATTTAATATCCTTCAATTGCATATAATTTTTAAACTTTAAAAGAAATATGAAATCAGTGTCGTGCTGCTAATAATTTACGAAATAAAGTCATAACTTACTTTTTTGATAAATTCCAATGCGTCAATTTGTGAATCATCAAATTTTTTAAGTTCAACTGCATGTGATAACGTGCGTGACTGTACAAATTTTAATGTATTAACTTGTGAATATAACAGTTTACGTGACTCGACCTTTCGTATTCCGTCTAACCACTGTGCCTTAAACTCGAATTCTCTTGTCTTTTGCAAGTTCGATAACTTATAAAAAGGAATCCACTCAATGACGTCTTCATATTTAGTAGTTTTAAGTTGAAACTCTTTAATACACTCATCGATGTTATTATTTCCACTAGTCCATCCTTGAACAGTTTTAAAAAGATCACACGACTGGCACCAGGCTTCTGAAGTATTATATCTCCCGCACTGTATACACTTTCCATATATAATATCTCTTTTGTAATAAAAATCATCAAATGCAATCATATAATGACCAGTTGTTTTATCATGTGTTATTCCGCATATTTTGCGTTCATTAACCCTCTTTTGCATAAAAACTTTCAACTTTTTTTTTAAAAAATAAAAACATAAATGTCGTGTTACTAAAAAAACCTCAAAAAAAATGTTTAGCTTACTTTTTTTATCAAATTTAATGTGTCAATTTGTAAATCATCCAATTTCTCAAGTTTAATTACACATGATAATGTACGTGACTGTGTATTGTTTTCGACTTTTCGTATTCCATCTAACCACAATGCTTGAAAATTTGATCCGATTTTGTGTAAGTTAGACAACTCATTAAATGGAATCCACTCAATTACATCTTCATATCTTGTACTTTTAAGTTGCCACTCTTTAATGTAGTCATCGATGTCATTATTTCCGCTATTCCATCCTTGAGTGACTTTAAAAGGGTCACATGATTGACACCAGGCTTCTGAAGTATTATTTCTCACGCACTGTGTACATTTTCCAAATTTAATATTCCTTTTGTAATAAAAATTATCAAATACAATCATGTATTGATTGGTTGTTGTATCCTGTGTTATTCCGTATATTTGACATTTATAATCTTCTAATTGCATGTAATTTTTAAACTTATAAAATAAAATATAAAAATAAGTGTCAGTCTATTAAAACCTCTAAATAAAATCTTTAACTTACTTCTTTTATAAATTCCAATGTGTCAATTTGTAAATCATTAAATTTCTTTATTTCAACTGTATAAGGTAATGAACGTGACGGTGTATTATTTTCGACTTTTCGTATTCCATCCAACCATAATGCTTGAAAATTTGATCCGATTTCGTGCAATTTAGATAACCTATTAAATGGAATCCATTCGATTACATTTGCATATATTCTACTTTTAAGTTGAAACTCTTTAATGCAGTCATCGATATCCTTATTTCCACTTGTCCATCCTTGGGTTGTTTTAAAAGGGTCACATGATTGACACCAAGCTTCTGATGTATTATATCTCTCGCACTGTGTACATTTTCCATCTTTACTATCCCTTTTGTAATCAAATACAATCATGAATTGATTAGTTGTATCCTGTGTTATTCCGTATAGTTTATGTTCATCATCTCCTAATTGCATGTAATTTTTAAACTTATATAATAAAGTATAAATAAGTGTCATTCTATTACATAAAACCACCAAATAAAATCTTTAACTTACTTCTTTTATAAATTCTAATGCGTCAGTTTGTGAATTATCAAATTTCTTAATTTCAACTGGATAAGATAATGTACGTGATTGTGCGTTATTTTCTACTTTTCGTATTCCATCTAACCATAGTGCTTGAAAATTTCCACCTTTTTTTTGCAAATTAGACAGCCTATTAAATGGAATCCATTCGATTACATTTGCATATATATTACTTTTAAGTTGAAACTCTTTAATACAATCATCAATATCACTATTTCCACTAGTCCATCCTTGAGTTGTTTTAAAAGGATCACATGATTGACACCAAGCTTCTAATGTATTATATCTCTCGCACTGTGTACATTTTCCAAATTTAATATCCCTTTTGTGATAAAAATCATCAAATACAATCATGTATTTACTAGTTGTTGTATCCTGTGTTATTCCGTATATTTTGCATTTATAATCTCCTAATTGCATGTAATTTTTAAACTTGTAAAATAAAATACAAAAATAAGTGACAATCTATCAAATAAAACCACTAAATAAGATCTTAACTTACTTCTTTTATAAATTCTAATGCGTCAGTTTGTGAATTATTAAATTTCTTAACTTCAACTGGATAAGGTAATGTACGTGATTGTGTATTATTTTTAACTTTTCGTATTCCATCTAACCATAATGCTTGAAAATTTGATCCGATTTTGCGCAAATTAGATAATCTATTAAATGGAATCCATTCGATTACATTTGCATATATTCTACTTTTAAGTTGAAACTCTTTGATGCAATCATCGATATCGTTATTCTCACTTGTCCACCCTTGGGTTGTTTTAAAAGGGTCACATGATTGACACCAGGCTTTTGATGTATTATATCTCTCGCACTGTGTACATTTTCCACACTTAATATCCCTTTTGTAATCAAATACAATCATGAATTGATTAGTTGTATTCTGTGTTATTCCGTATAGTTTATGTCCATTATCTCCTAATTGCATGTAATTTTTAAACTTATAAAATAAATATAAAATGAGTGCCATTCTACTAAATAAATCGCAAAATAAAATTTTTAACTTACTTCTTTTATAAATTCTAATGCGTTGATTTGTGAATTATTAAATTTCTTAACTTCAACCGGATAAGATAATATACGTGACCGTGTATTGTTTTTGACTTTTCGTATTCCATCTAACCACAATGCTTGAAAATTTGATCCAATTTTATGTAAGTTAGATAACCTATTAAACGGAATCCACTCAATTACGCTTAAGTAGCTTGTACTTTTAAGTTGAAATTCTTTAATATAATTATCGATATCCTTATTTCCACTAGTCCATTCTTGTGTGGTATTTAAAGGATCACACGACTGACACCAGGAAAATGAAGCAGTTGACCTCTCACACTGTGTACATATTTCATATAAGCTATTCATCCCAGAGAAAAGTATTACTGTATTGACGACAGTCATGCAAGGGCTATTATAGTGTCACGATGATTACCATCAGTGTTACTATAATAAGATAATCATTATACAGTATATTAAATTGATAGATGGGTGAAATGCAGTGTTCCGAATGAGTCGGGTTCGGGTTTGACCAGATATAACCCATTTGATAATTTTCAGGTTTGGATCAGATTCAGATTATATGTAATAAAATTTGATTGGTTATTAGAACACTTCCAAACAATTTTTTTGGAAACATTTATTTTTCGGCTTGTTTCCTATTATCTACACTATTTTAAATTTCTCACACATGATTTTCTTAATTTTGTTCATTGTTAATAAAATTACATTGCATTATAGTATTGCATTATGCCTCTGTATCCATCCACCCTACAAGCAAATCTATCAGAATTATCATGTAGAGTCATAAGGCTTCTAGTGATCCAGAATTATTATAAACAAAATCAATCCAAAATATTTGGTATAGAATACAAAGGGACATTATAAAAGGTCTAAAGCAAAAAAAACATGGGAGGCTGCAGAAGCAGAAGAGAAAAAAAGATAAAGAAAAGAGTTTTATCTTTATTATTCTTTTTTTCTTTTATTATTTTTCCATAATATTTTTATTAAACACAATTGTTTCTTTAGCGCATTAAAAAAAAACCTATGGAGAAAAAAAAATCTCTTTTATATATATAACATTTTTCTTAAAAGTTTTCTTTTATAGTAATTATTTTTAAAATTAAAGAAATAAATATTTTTTTCTTCACTTTTCAATACTCAAAAGTCTTATAAACTTTTTTTATCTTCATTACAAGAGCATCAAAAAAAATCAAAGAAGTATACTGGTACATTGAAATAAAACCTCTAATAAAAAAAAGTTTAAAGGCCTTTATTTTTCTTTGAATTGTATTAAAAAAAGACCTATAGCAATTATTTCTGTATAAATTTCCTTAGAATTTTTCTTATTTCATATCAATACAAAGTTTATTAAAAAAACCTATTTTTCTTTGGAAAGCTGTACTCAAAAAACTAAATTTTATTTAAAAATTGTTTATATTATTGATTTGAAACATGAGCAATATATATAGTAAATGTAAAAAAGATTTAGAATTTTTTTATTACATATAAAAAATTTATAACTTTCAATATATCTAAATAATACTTTAATAAAAGACATAATTGATTATAAAAAAATTTTTTTAGTAGTCAGCCTTTTTTTCATCTTGTTCAATTACTTGTTGAAGTTGATTTTTCATGCTATTAACTAATTTAAGACATAAACTTTAATTGAAGTTTGTCCATTTCTTTTTAATAATCATTTGAAATTCATTTACTGTAATTTTTTTTTGTTTAACATTTCATTAATATTTTTTTTGACTTTTTTTTTTAATATACTCCACATATTTTCAATAGGGTTTAAGTCAAGTGAATATGTGAGCTATTTAAGAATATCAAGATGACAAGTTTCAAGAAGACAAGTTGTAACACAAGCCATATAAATCTAGGAGTTGTTTTATTGAAACTGCCAGCTATAACTTATATGAGAAACATTAGAAAAAAGGTGAGTATTAAGAATATTACAGTATTTTTGAGTATTTAAGTTTTCTAAAAATAAAACTAATGCAATTGTACCTTTTGCAGAAAATGCACCCCATGTATGGACTTTGTATGGGTTTTTAATCACACTGCAATATATGTGTGAATTTCTATAATGATATGTTACTTCTTGTGTTGTCTCATTTGAGAAAATTGTTTTGGACCAATCATTCTTAACATATTTTGAGCCCATTTCAAATGGGCAATGATGTGATAAGGTTGAAGAAAAGAATCCTGAAGAGATTGGCAAACAAAATATTGAAGATCTTTTTAAAGAATTTTTTGAATTCAACGAACTAATATGTTTATAGTGGGATTATTATGAATAAGTTTTGCAATTATTTCTTTGACTGTAATTATGTTATTAAGCTGAATAAGGCTATCTATATGACAATATTCTTTTGCAGCAAGCTTTTTAGCTCTTTTAGGTATAGGATATATAGTAAGATTACTATTTTTTTTAAGTCGATTTACATGATCATATATAGTAAACTTTGAAAAACCTGTTAAACATATGATTTCAGCAGGTTTTTCAATATCATTATTCTATAAACGACTTACAAGTAATCTTTGTATAGCAAGATCCATTTCTGACAAGTCTATACTGATACAAAACAATATTTAAAATTCAACGCAATTAGTGTCTATATATATATATATGTTTATTTATATAATATTATAAAATAAAAAAATTTAATCATTTTTAATTTAAAATTGAACCATTATTATATTTTTTATATAACAAATTAAAATTCCAAATCTTTCTCATGATTACTATACAATAATAATCTTTTACTATTTATTAGTATATTTTGCTACATCACAAAAAACTAAAAATTTTTAGTTGAAAAATTTCTTGTCAAAAAACTGTAATTAGTTTACTCTTGTTAACTAATTTATACTTTTAACTTAATTAATAAAATACCATTAAATATTAAAACAAATTTGTATAATTAGTTCATTTTACGATGATTATTATAAACAAAACTTATTCTGATAATATCAATTAAAACAAAATTATATAATTGTTAAATAAACTAATTACAGTATTATATTAATAAAAATACCAACAATCACAATAATAAAATATAATTCAAGAAATATGTTAATAATATTATTATTTACTTTAAAACAATAATCTAACTATTTCAAAAAGTAATATCTTATTTCAGGATAATAGAATAGTCAATGTGGTGTATCTAATTAAAAATATTTTTTATGCAGTTTTAGTTTAGAAACTCAAAAACACTAAAGACAACTAATACAGTAAGATGGAACCTCTAATTAAAGTCTATTTTTATTTATTTTTTGGTTACATAAAAAAGACCTATGACAGTAAACTTTTATTTTTTTTGTTTTTTTGTAATCTATATTCTTTTAATATTATAAAAACATACTTATTAAACTTATAAACACTTTTTAAAAAATATACTTAAACAAAGTTATAAAATTTAATATTTGTTTTAATATATCTTTTATTCAAA